AAGCAGGAGACCGCCGTCATGCATTAGCAGCGCCTCCCAGCTGACGATGGCCGCCATGCTGATAGGCTTGCAGGTAGGTGGAGGGAGGGTAGAAGGAAGTAGGGGGAAGGTAGGAGGAGGAAGGAGGAAGGAGGAAGAAGCAGGAGGCGGAAGGTAGTAGTAGGAGGAAGGTAGGAGGAAGGAGTGAGGAGGAAGGCAGGTGGGAGCAGGTAGGTAGAGAAAGGTCGCTTGGTGAAGATAAGTTGGCGGAGGTATATGTAAACCCAAGTAGGTTCGAGGAGATCGGTGTGATAGCTCGAGATTTCACGTATACCCTATTATATATGCTATTATATATGCATGTAGTTAACACAATCAACAAATAACTCATTTAAATTCCTTGCGCTCTTTTCACTCTTATTATAATTACTCGTCGTATGTTTGGCGCTATAACCGTATACTTACCTTATGGCTACTAAATAAACGGAGAATTATTTGCGTTGCCGGCCAAAAGGTGCCGCCACGTGTCGATAAAATGAAAGTTCCTAACGCAGCGTCTCGTTTCAATTCGCAAGTTCCCGGAGCGTCGCTCGTGTGCCTCAGATACGGTTTCTATGTACCAATATAAATGAAATCACCACGTCGTGAAACTAATAGATTCAACAGTTACGTGCGTAAGTTAAGTACTCGTAACTGTGAACATGTTTAGTTCGGCAAGCATGTGAGTGAGATTTGTACGTGAGACTCTCGGAGGCGATATATTATTTCTATTATAAACATAAATATAAAATAATAAAATAGTCTGAAATACTATAACATTTTAATTGAATTTTTGTTAAACATTTATTTTATACTTATATTAGTCATAACGATTTACGAAGCTTCTGACAATATCTCCCAATTACTTATATTACGTAGATTTATATTGCTTTCCGGCAGTGACTAACAAACATGATACGATGAGGGTGGAGATGGGGGGGGAATCCGGAGTTACAAACATGGGACGGGGGAAAAAACCATTCAGGCACAGGGGTTGCTACGGGTGATCATAAGCGTGCGTCATTATTGCTCTATCGCAGATAGTAGCCAGCATTGCCTCGACGTCGCTCCACCCCCAGGAGGCGCTGCTGGTCATGCCCAGCCCGTCGGTGAGGTACGTGGAGCTGATGTGTGGGAGCGGCGGGGCAGCGGGGAAAATCGTGAGTCTCGTCTACAATATGCTGCTGGTAGCAGCCTGCTCCGTGCTGGCGTTCAAGACGCGCCATCTACCGGACAACTTCAACGAGTCCAGGTAAGAAGCAATGTCGATGAAGAGTCTCTGTGATTGACCTTCTCTCTGTGTGTCTAACATATTTCTGTCTGTCTCTCTCTCTCTTTCATCTCTTTCTCTCAACCTCTCTCTCTCTCTCTTTTTTCTCTCTCTCTCTCT